TATGGAGGATAAGGCACCTGGCACGCCCACCAGTATCAGAACGTTGTCTATAGTCTATCCAACGTCGAGAGACTACTTTGGCCTGGCAACTCTCCAGACTGTAACTGTATTGAGCCATGCTGGTTCTACATGAAGAGAGAGACTACAAAGAAAGGAGCTCCACAGTCAAGAACGGAGGCAACTAGAATCTGGCTAAATTGCTGGAGAGATCTCCCACAAGCTAAGATCCAAGCTTGGATTGAGCGTATTCTTATACATATTCCAAAGATAATTGAGCTACAAGGTGGTAATGAGTATATAGAGGGGAGAGATAGGCGTTGTGTAGGAGAGCGGCCAGATTTCGGCTAAATTATTCTTGGCAGGACAAAACTTTTGTGAGGCACCTCCGTACAGTAGGTGTAGATAACCAAGTGACCGTGGCCACGGGCGTCGGGTTGGGCAACAAGGGTGCTTTGAAACGCACTGAGTTGCTGGCACTTGTCCAGTTCCCCGCCCGCGCTTGGTCCCTGCACCCTAAACTTATCCCTGACCAAGCTACTGCGGCAGTCCCCAGCACCTCCCTCCCCTTGCCAGCAGTGCGCTGAAGAATCCTTTTCCTACTAGTCGCCCTGGACCTTTCCCAAGCCCGTGAGCGTGTGGCACTGCTGCTCCTCTCCCCCAGGCATCTTACCGCTTGTACCAAGTAGTAGTAGCCCTGTGCACGACTCGATACCCAACGCCCACCACACCGACTCCCCCCCCTCAGCAGCGATTGCGGACGCCCAGGATGAACAACAACAACAACAACAACAACCAGCAGCAGCAGCAGGGCAACCGGCTGCAGCTGAACTTTGGCTTCAATGGCGGTGATCGGAACAACCAATACCAGCAGGAGGCCGGCAGAGCGTTCCCTACCACCCCGTCGACGTTCCCGCAACCTGTATACCCAAACCAGGCTGGCCAGCAAGAGGTTTGGGGCGCCCAGCAGCAGGGCAATGGCTACAGTGGCGGCGGGGGCTACTTTGTGAACCCCTACCAGCAAGCACAGTATCAAGGACAGCAGGGGAACCTCCAGGCCCAAGGCAGCCAGCGCTTCGACCAAAGTGCCAACGGCCTCGCCCAGCAACTCTCACACCAGCACCTCGGGGGTAGCGGCCGCTCCGGTGGCCCCTATGGCCGGCAAGGCTCTCCGAACCCTCCGACGCGCCCTCGCACAGCCGACAGCAGAGGGTATGGCTACGGTAGTCAAGGCGGCTCCGCACAACGGCCGGTTTCGCTGTACGACGAGGAGGCTCCGCAAAGGAACCCGGCCAAATACTCCGAGAACGTAGAGAAGCAGGCCATGGTTTCCAAGAGCCTCATCAATACCTTCTTCAAGGACAGCGTCCAGCGAGCACGCGATAGGAACCAAAGGTAACACCGCTTTTATGCCGTTCCTTGTCCTTTCCAAAATTAACAATGATGCAGAGCACTCGAACTCGAGGCCCTGATGAAGGAGCCTTCCATTTCCGACAGCCGGAAAGCGAGCAAGGAGGCCAGCATGCGCCGCGCCGAAGTTGAATACCTGCGGTTTTTGCGAACAAAGGAGAAGCCGGACAACTTTACCACGCTCAAGATTATCGGCAAGGGTGCCTTTGGAGAAGTCAAGCTCGTCCAGCGACGCAACGATGGCAAGATTTATGCGCTCAAGTCGCTTGTCAAGCAGGAAATGGTAGGCAGCCACCTGGAGACCCAAGCATCGTCCATGATACTGACAGCTTGCAGTTCAAAAAAGACCAGCTGGCGCACGTGCGGTCAGAACGTGACATTCTCGCCGAGTCTGATAGTCCTTGGGTTGTCAAGCTGCACACCACGTTCCAGGACAACACGTTTCTCTACATGCTCATGGAATTCTTGCCAGGTGGTGATCTGATGACCATGCTCATCAAGTACGAAATCTTCACAGAAGACATTACGCGTTTCTACATGGCCGAAATCACGCTTGCAATAGAAGCGGTCCACAAGCTTGGCTTCATTCACCGGTACGTATCTTTGTAGTGACACGCTGACACAAGCTTGCTGACATGCACAAGTGACATTAAGCCTGACAATATTCTTCTCGACCGGGGCGGCCACATCAAGCTGACGGATTTTGGTCTTTCAACGGGTTTCCACAAGGAGCACGATGCTGGATACTACAAGAAGCTGCTTGCCGGCGGCGCGCACAAGTCGAACCGCGACAACAGACAGTCAATGAACCTTGACCAGATTCAATTGACAGTTAGCAACCGTACCCAAATCAACACATGGCGCAAGTCTCGCAGACAGCTCGCCTACTCCACCGTCGGTACGCCCGACTACATTGCGCCGGAGATTTTCAGTGGCCAAGGTTACGACTACAGCTGTGATTGGTGGTCCGTGGGTACTATCATGTTCGAGTGTCTTATCGGCTGGCCACCGTTCTGCGCTGAGGAGCCTCATGACACATATCGCAAGATTGTTGACTGGCCACGCAACCTGCACTTCCCTCCAGACCAGCAACTCGGAGCTGAAGCTGAAGACTTTGTCCGAAGGTATGTTTCATCAGATGCTCACAATTACTTGGGTCGTGTCATAGCTAACAAGCGTAGACTTATCTGTGACGCTGACCACCGTCTTGGTCGCATTGGTGGCGCCAGTGAAATTAAACAGCATCCCTTCTTCCGCGGTGTGTCCTGGGATGGCCTGCGCCGCATCCGAGCGCCATTTGAGCCCAAGCTACAGTCCAACATTGACACACAATACTTCCCCATTGATGAGATTGACCAGAACGACACGTCGGCTGCCCACAGGGCGCAGGCAGCGCAGGCAGGCGAAGACGAATACGCAACGAGCTTGCCATTTATCGGTTATACCTACAAGCGATTCGATGCTTTCCGTGGTTCGTAGGTTTAGCCAGTACTCTGTTTGGTCAACTTTTTCTGTGCATCCTGTCCATGTTTGTTAACAGCAGTGCTTCTGGTATGCACAAATCAAACTATATCATCATCTATCGACATCTTCTGAGCCAGCGTGTTGGACATTATACATCTCAGCAAAGGAGAATGCAACGTTTTCTGGAGCATCTTGGAAAAGGGCGAGGACGAGGCATAAGAAGGCAGGGGGTATTCATGTAAAAGGTCACAATAAAGAAGAGACAATACTCATTTGATCATCTGGTTGGAATGCATATTGCGTCTATTCTGTGTGAACTAGATGGATTTGTTGTCTCTGGAGAATACTCTTATGCACATCTGGAGTCCCTCTACCTTTTCTCCATTGCCAATCCAGAAGGAACTCTTTTTTTTTAACATGGAGTGATGCGCAATAATGACTTCTTCTCCGCCATGCCATGGGTACACACGGAAATATCAAAACCTCGTTCCATGACTGACTACTACAACTATTGCAAAGTGTAGAAATCTCCCTCAACCCCCCTTGTAACCCGCCTTTATCCTTGTTTTGGAAGAATTCTACTATTACTCCGTTTGTCCGCTCGTTGGTTGTTGGTATCTATCGCCGACTGCATCGTTCCTTGCTTTGTTTTGTATCGTATAAAAAAAAAGGTTTCTTTTCTCTCTCTCTCTCTCTCTCAATTTCGTTCCGTTTCGCGACCCCTCCTAATTTTCCAATTTCGCTTCAAGATTGCATGGATTTGGGCGTTCGGTGCCGGAAAGCGAAACAAAACAAAGAGGGTTATTCGCGCGCGCGTTTGCTTTTACTCATCGAGCTTCAAATTGCACCATGCTACAAGCGTATCGCGTTAGCTTCTCCTTTTTCTTTTCTTTGCTTCAAAGTACAAGGACACAAAGCATACGCGTTAGAAGAAAAAAAGGTGTATACGCACCGGCTCGTTCGCTGCTTGTACAGCACACGGTGGCCGCAGTTGCGGCAGCGGATCGGCTCGCCGCGCTTCAGCGGAACATCCATGTCGCAGTCGCCGCACTTGTAGTGCACTGTGCGCGCTGTTGCGTCGACGGCTGCGGCTGCGTGGTCGCCTGCGCCGGTTTGCGAGGCGTTGTAGCCGCCGCCGTATTGCTGGGACATGGTGATTTGCCTTGGGAAGTGTGTGTGAAAGTCGTGGGAGGGTCGCTGGGCGTGAGCGAGAAGGCGTAAGTGTGGTGGGTGGGCAAGTGGATGTTAAGGCGGGAAAGTTTGGCAGAGAAAGAGAGGCAGAGGCGATGATGGGAAAACGAGGGTCGCGGTGGCACGTGCTGGTTGTGCTTTGCGCCTTATCGATTGTACATACAGTACGTACATACATGTGCTTTGCTTTGCTTTGTTCTTTGTGTGTATAGGTTTCGCTAGCCGCTTCTTGAGCGGAATTTCAGAGTTGCTCTTTTTAAACATATGTCTATGGAAATTATTTGTTTGGTGTGTCTGAATGTCCGTGGGAGATAGAGGCGCGGGTGGTATGCTCAACGCAAAAGAGCGGAGATGCATCAAGGTAGTGGAATAATTAGCAAAACTCAAATTTACATAGGATAAGCTTATTCAAAATAGGGTCAATGATATTTATCTTGCTGCAAGGAAACAGTTGCATAAAGCAAAGGATAGTTACGAGTGCAACACATGCGCTTATTGAATGTCTCAGCGGTAAACTTGATGATGACGAGTTATTGATCAGGTAGCCTATAGAGAGCTTAAAATCGATGCCCAGTGCACATCCCGCAATATACATTCAGGTAGGGCCAAGGTTTCGAAATCAATGAATGAAACCCGTGCTGTCAATTGGTCGAGGGACTGCGGGCATGCGGGACTATGGCGCCTATCCCGTTTAGGCTAGTCGCAGCAGAACCGCGGCCCGCTCATGAGAAAAAGTTGGGAAAGTCGCGACTTTTTGCGACTGCAGGCTCCAGGACCGCGACACCCCGAACCACACCAAAAATGGCCGGAATCAAGCGCAAATCCGCGGGAACAAGTGCGCCCGAGATCAAGGACAAGAGCAAGAAGGTCAAAGTCGACAAATCGGCGGCGAAGAGCAAATCAAAGCACGAGGTTAAGCCAGTAAAGAAGGCGAAGAAGGCCAAGGAAGAGAGCTCCGACGAACTCGACGAATCCGATACCAGTGAACAGGACAATGGCTTCTATGGTTTCTCTGCTGCCGACGGAGAGGATGTAGACATGAGCGATGCAGAAAGCAGTGAAGAGTCCGAGGAACAGATCCCAACGTCGAACGGCAAGGCGCACAAGCACAAGAGCGAAGGCGATAGCTCAAAGAAGCCCAAAGGAGATGGCGCAGACTCCAAACTGGCGGGTCTGAATGGTAAGACTCAATGGTTCCTTTTATCGTCGCTTGACTAACTGTGCCTCTAGCAAGCAACTCACGAGAAGCGCACCAGAAGCAGAAAGCCCTTGCCAAGGAACGCAAGGCTGCGAAGCCCAACGCGGATATTATCGAGCGCTCCAAGAAGCTGTGGGAAAAGCTTAGACTGAAGTCTCATGTCGAAAAGGACGAAAGGAAGGAACTCATCAAGGAGCTGTTTGAGATCATCACTGGCAGAGTCAAGGATTTTGTCTTCAAGCACGACTCTGTGCGTGTCATTCAGACTGCCATCAAATACTCGACTATGGAACAACGGAGAATGATTGCCCGCGAACTGAAGGGAGAGTTCAAGGTTTTGGCCGAGGGCAAATACTCCAAGTTTTTGATCGCCAAACTGGTGGAGAAAGGGTGAGTTTGCAGCAGCACGCCGTTAACAATGACTATGCTAACAATTTCCAGTGACCCTGAGATTCGCGACCTCATCATCAGCGAGTTTTACAGCCACATCAAGCGTATGATCAACCACCCCGAAGCCGCATGGATTGTGGACGATATATACCGAGCCGTCGCGACCCCAGAGCAGAAGAACCGTATGCTGCGAGAGTGGTATGGACCCGAGTTCTCTATCAAGGGTCTGGGCGCCCAAGGCTCAGACACCGCGGACCTTTCAGTCATCATGAAAGAATCTCCCGAGAAGAAGAAGCCGATCATGGACTACTTGGAGAACCAGATCAACTCGCTCATCCAGAAGAAGCTGACTGGCTTCACCATGCTGCACGACGCCATGCTGCAGTACTTCTTGGTCTGCGAACCTGGTACCGAACAAGCAAACGATTTCCTCGAGCATCTCAAGCCCGATCCAACAACAAAGGAGGGCGAAGAGGCTGACAACGTGGACCTGTTGAAGAACCTTGCATTCACCAAATCGGGCTCGCGACTCATGTCACTCTGCTTCGCGTACGGCACAGCAAAAGACCGCAAGCTCTTCCTGCGACCGTACAAGGACACTGTCGAGTTGATGGCCTTCGATCAGCATGCTCACCACGTTCTTCTCGCTGCGCTGGCTGTCACAGATGATACCAAGCTCTCTGCGAAATCCGTCTTTAGCGAGCTTCTTCCCAGCAACGACAGTCTACCAGAGAAGGTTCTTAACCTCGTGAACGATGCTCGTGCGCGCACAGTTCTATTGTATCCATTTGCCGCTGATGCCAAGTGGCTGTTGGACGACAACACACGAGAACGGTTGAGCGAATTGTACGCTATCCGCGAGAAGACTTCCAAGAAGGATCCCAATGTCCGTCTGCAAGAGATTGCAAAGTCTATTGAGCCGCAACTACTGACAGCAGTCACTGCTCGAGCAGCTGACTTTGCTTCATTCACATTCGGCTTGCAGTTCATGGGCGAAGTTCTCGTTGGAGCACCCGAGGTGGAGCCGACTAAGCGCAAGGAGGCTCTGACAGAGGTTGCACGCCTTTCCCAATCGATACTGGACTCTTCTCTCCCTGCTTCAGCTGGCGATAACAAGGCCACCAGCCATGGCAAGAATATGCTCAAGATGCTCGTACAAGGCGGCAAATTCGACCCTGTCGCCAAGAAGGTTGTTCCGGTTGAGCCTGCGCTTGGGTTTGCAGATTTGCTATGGCCTCAGATCAAGGGCACTATTGTTGACTGGGCTACCGGCCAAGGTTCGTTTGTTGTCGTTGCTCTGACTGAGGCCGAAGGCTTTGAAAAGAAGGGCGATGTGTTGAAAGCATTGAAGAAGGAGAAGAAGGCATTGGAGGCTGCTGCCAACCCCCCGGGCAGCGACAATGGGGAGCCGAAGAACAAAAAGCAGAAGAAGGGTGGCAAGTCGGAAACTGCACCCAGGGGCAATGCGGGTGCAAAGATTTTGCTTGAAAAGTTGTAGGGCGCCTATTTATTAGAATATGTTCTTTTCCTAAACACATGTCATGATACCCAGCTAAGGGCTCTTCTGTCTCTCTTTTGGATTCGTTGAGCAAGGTTGGATAATATGGTGTATCAAGCCATGTGAGCACACATGCAGTGTACTTGTGTAGGATTGAGTCATCCCGATCGGGTATAGCATCCGCAGCCATATGCAGACATGTTGGAATGACAGACGTCTTCCAGCTTGCATAGAGTTGCTATTTATTCCTTGGGTTGGTGTTCACTACACTCACTTGTTTTTGTCGTTTCTCAACAGCAGCGAAATATCGACTACGTAGTACTCACCTACCATCTGAGCAATTGCAAAAGCAGCACCGCGCAAAGCAGACCCCACACTCGGCACTGCAGTACTCTAGACATCCAAGTCACCACCTTATCCATCCCCCAAAAAATGCCACGAGACTGCACAATCGACGAGTCATCGCTCCCCTCCGTCTTCCAAGCCCAATGGAAATCCAACCCAGATGCGACTGCGCTCCCCTTCCCGCGTGACAACCCACCTTTTGCCCTCACAGCAATCGACTGGCAGCAGCTGTCCCTTACAGACGCACAGTACACGCCGCACTCATGGACGAATCTCCACGAACTAATTTCGACGCACCAGCTCGAAGCGCTGAAGCGCTGGCCGAGCTCTCTAAAAGCCTATCTAGCATGGACTGCGCATGCCAAAGCCAAATACGGGAGTATCATGGCGTACCTGCTTAACCAGCGCTTATTCTGGGAGCCGCTGGAAGACGACACGGGGGCGCTGCGGTTCCACGTGCAGAAGGCAGAGCCGTTTGCCGACGCGGCGGATTTCAAGATCCTGCGCAACGACTGGACGTATGGGGTTGAAGACGGGATTCGCCATATTGTCGTGTGGATCAAGCAGCGGCTCCCCGTTGACGAGAAGGGCGCGCTGAGTGCCGAGGGGCGGCGCATGGTGGATGGGTTTGTGAAGAGGGAGTTTAGGGCCAAGGCTGGGGAGATGCGGGAGGGGGACAAGGTCATGTGGTTTAAGAATACGACGGATTTGCAGAGCGTGAGGAGCTTGGAGCATGTGCATGTGCTGGTGAGGGATGTGGATGAGGACGTGTTGAGGCGGTGGATGGTGTGAGTGTTGGATGGGGGGATATCATGGAGTGGAATGGAAGGCGGGGTTGGGTAGGGGAGAAGATAGAGTTCTTCTCTGAGGATGGATGGATTGTGATAGTTGCTTGTGAGTTTGGGGAGTCCACATGACGCGACTATCCGATGCATTCCTATCTGCACGTGTAGACTGGCCTTCACATGTGTATTCTGTGTACGACTCCACGACGATCGTTTCTTTTCTTCACACATACACTAACACTTGTGCTTACGGACAGAAAGTTCCAGACACCATGCATCTTCACATTGTAACATTCGAGACTCGAAAGTCGACGTTGATCGTCGCCGCCGTTGGGCTCGACGCGCGAGTCATGTGTCCCGATGAAAATGATCGACGTCACCGCACGTGCAGACGTCAAAGTACCCAGGGTCCAGAACACAACAACATCCATGCAGACCCCATCTACCGAGGATGCCCACACGAACTCTATACGGTGTTATGATAGGCAAAATTCCCTTTTTCATCTACTCATGACACATGCCACAGCAGAGCCTCCGACAACCCCGTCAATTTTATATGTGTTTCGGTCCTGCTCCGGGACGGGCTCCAGGGTACAGGCGACACCGAGCATGCGAAAAACCCAGTCCCTGATCTCCAGGTGTCATGTTTGACCCTTACGATCGATCTAGCATATGTACCGTAGATCCATGGCGCTAATCGGAGCGGGACGGCACTCGTCATGGATGTTGCAACTATTCCTTGTAGCCCTAATTGCTGGTAGCCGCTTACGTGCGCAGTCGTCATGGCATGTCCAAAGGCCCTGATCTTTGACTCACTGATATGGACCTCGATTGTGGACAGACCATCGGACATATGATGAAGACTGTGTCTTGCCGGGGGGTCGGACGATGAAGCGGACGAGACAGAGTGATGAACGGCTACTGCGTTGACTGTAAGACGGTGGTTCTGCGCACAGGTGGGATATCGATGATGTCACGGATGAGGATTTTTGGGGACTTTGGATCCGATGGTGCTAGAGACTAGCAGACTGAATTTCCTTATTAAATACCATTTACCTTCTTATTCCTTGATTGTATATACGACTGTCAATCTGATTGCCCCCTAAGTGAGCAGCATGACGGACCTGATTCGTGACTCGGCTTTTGGCCACTGCGTTCGACTCGTGACGCGAAGAAAGTATCTCCAGTATCCCGAAGAAAAGGACCCCGAGGCCTGGAAAAAGTATGTCAATCCGGAAAAGTCAGGTTATGCTGCGTTCCATGGATCGACGGAACCGCCCTCCAACGCTGGCGATCTCGAGGAACTCAGGCAGGCGCAGGATGGGCGTGGCCGCGAAGCAAGCGACTCGGATTCTTCAAGGACACTGGGTGGTGTGAATGGAGATAGTGGTGTCCGCATAGATTCTGAAAAGGGACGCGACTACCATGTTGTTGACTGGTATGGACCAGATGACCCCCAAGTATGTCTACCTTGTGGTCTTTCCAGAGGCCTTTGAACGCTGCTGACAACTGCGCAGAACCCACGGAACTGGTCTCGGGCCAAGAGGTACTTTGTCACCTTTGAGATTTGCTTCCTTACTTTCTCCGTATACATTGGATCCGCCATCTACACTCCTGGTCTTATGGACGTCATGCGAGACTTTGGCGTTGCGCAGGTACCTGCACTCTTGGGATTGACCCTCTACGTCGCAGGATACGGTCTTGGTCCTCTGATCTGGTCACCGATGAGTGAGATTCCGCAGATTGGACGGTTGTGGGTATACATCGGAACCCTTCGTAAGTCCTCTGTCTCTAACAGGTACCATGCAAAGAGCTAACACAAGGAAACCTAGTCGTGTTTGTCCTATTTCAAATACCTACAGCGCTCGCCGTCAACTTTGGTATGCTTTTGGCCTTTCGGTTCTTGACCGGATTTTTCGGCTCGCCAGCTCTTGCTACAGGAGGAGCTTCCATCGTCGACATGTACCGACCGCAGAAACAAGTATACGGCTTGTCAGTCTGGGGAATAGGCGCAGTCTGCGGGCCCGTGCTAGGTCCATTAGTCGGTGGATTTGCCGTCATGGCCGAGGGATGGACATGGACAATCTGGGAGCTGATGTGGCTGTCCGGCGTGTGCTGGGTAGTGCTCTTCTTCTTCCTACCTGAAACAAGCTCTGCCAACATCTTGCACCGCCGAGCAAAGCGGTTGAGGAAGCTGACTGGCGATGATCGATTTACTTGCGAGCCGGACCTTGCCGCGTCTCATATGACACCAAAGGATGTACGTATGCTCGAATTGAACCAGCTGCGTCGGTACCATGCTAACTCAACTTAGATTGTTCTCATGACGCTGGTCAGGCCCATCACGCTCAACTTCACCGAGCCCATTGTCTTGCTGCTCAACCTGTACATTGCCCTCATCTACGGTCTGCTCTACATCTGGTTCGAGTCGTTTGCCATTGTCTTTGAGGGCATCTACCATTTCAACCTTGGCGGCTTGGGTTTGGCCTTTCTCGGAATTCTCGTGGGCACGCTTCTTGCAGCCGGGGCGCTCTTGGCATGGAACTACTATTACCTGGAGAAGCAATTCGATGAGAATGGCAACATTGAGCCAGAGAAGCGGCTGATTCCGGCCATGGTGGGCTGCTTCTTCGTGCCCATCTGCCTGTTCTGGTTTGGATGGGCGCCGAGGCCGGATGTGCACTACATGGTGCCCATTGTTGGGTCTGGCTGCTTTGGCATAGCGGCCTTTATGCTCTTCCAGGCCGTGTTGCCGTACCTGAGCGACGCGTACCCCGAGTATGTGGCTAGTGTGCTGGCAGGCAACGATCTGATGAGATCCGCGTTTGGTGCGGGGTTCCCTCTGTTCGCCGGTGCCATGTACAAGAAGCTTGGCGTCGACTGGGCGAGCAGCCTGTTGGCGTTCTTGGGCGTTGCTTTTATCCCCATCCCGTTTGCGCTGTACAAATGGGGCAAGCAAATCAGGCACAAGAGCAAGATGGCGAGAAAGGACATTTGAGAGCCGGGGCCTAGTATGGTATGTGTCTGTGTGTATAGCAAATTAGCCGCCCTGGAGGCCTGCAATAACGTATGTGTTATGCCGTCCAATTTCAAATGCTGTGCTCCGAGCCGTGTCATGAGCCCGAGGGGTGTTTCGGGCGGACAGGTTGCATGTCGACGTCATGATTGTAGTGACATTGGGGTCGGATCGGGACACTGCTCCGCGGAGGACAAGCCGTTGAGCGGGGCATGCGTGCCAGTGCCAGTGCCGTGAAGGAGCAGTCATTGCAGGCGGGTGGCATGGACGGGAGGATGACTCGCACGGGCAAATGAGAGGCGGAATTGTTCTGGGCCACGGCGAGGGTGGCGGGCGGCAGGGGCCAGGATGGATGTGCGGGCGACATGGCTGTGGTTGGATGGGGGTGTGGCAAATCGTGATGGAGGCGTGGTGTGTGTCCAAGACCGCCTGCACGCCATACAGTAAGCATGCGTGACTATGGCAATGGCAATGGCAATGCCGATGCCGATGCGGCGATTGCCTGCAGCTGCACCGCCACAGCGACGGCGGGCGCCGATCGTTGCCGTGCACAGCCATAGGCCCGCCCGCCCATGCTGCCTGTCCATTATCACAAGCAGAGCTGCTGCTGCACCAGGCGTGCACCGCACCCTCTCGCCCCCCGGCTCACCACCACGCACTGCGGCCAGAAAAGAAGCCCGGAAACCAAGGACACGCTGGCCATGGCCGACGCCCCCAAGCCCGTCGTCGTCAACGCGCCCAAGCCCCAGCGACTCGAGAGCTCGGGGTCGGGCTCGTCTGGCGACTTCGATCACGATGGCCCTCTTGGCGCAGCCGACATGAACCATGGAGAGTTCAATTTTGCGGCGCCCGTTCAGGCCGCCAACGGCGTCGTTGTCGACGACGATATCGCTCCCCTGCGCGAGCCCGCCTACAGCTGGAGCACCGCTGCCCCGCCCCCCTTGTCGTCGTCGCTATCATCGTCGTCGTCGTCGTCGCGCCCGCGTGGGCCCCAGATCATGACCGACGTCTCGCCAGCGCCCCAGCCCAACGGCACCAATGGCCTCACCTCGTCCGCCCGAGGCCAGCGCCCGTCTGCCGTACGCACCCCCAGCAATGCCTACGCCCCAGCCCGCCGCCCGCCCCAGTTCTCGCTCAACTCGACCACCTCCCATCGCCAGCGCAACAACTCGGCCACGCGCTCGCGCCGCAACCCCAACGCCGAGTACCGCGCCCAGGAAAAGGCCTATGTCCAGCGCATCCGCCAAGAGGACCAGCAGGACGACTTCTTCGACCCCGCCCTGCGCACCCCCAGCCTGGGCTACAGCACAGACTCCGAGACCGACGACGACTCGCCCTCGACAGCCGACTATGTCGAAAACGACCCCTACGACCAGGAGACCCTGCTGTACTATGGCAACGACGACATGCAGCCCTCGATTGAGGAGCTCAAGATACCCGCCAACCGCGAGCGCCTCGAGTGGCACTCGATGCTGGCCAGTGTGCTGACGGGCGACGTCGTCAAGCAGGAGAAGAAGCGTCTGATTGGCAGCTCCGAGCAGCAGGGAGACAGCACCATGAAGGCCGAGGTCTGGATGGGCATACGCGCCAAAGTTTGCGGCCGCTCGCTGCAGGCCCAGCGCCGAATTGTCGACGACACCCGCAGCAAGATTCGTGCCAATCTCGAGAGCATCGTATCGTTTGAGGTTGGTGGAGAGGCAGAGGCCGGCCAGACGGCTGCCCAGCAGGTCGAGGACATTGTCAAGAAGATTGAAAAGGTGGAGAGTGCCTATCCGACACGCCAGGCTCTTGAGGCTGCGTACCCCCGGGCAGCATCGCAGCACTACAAGGATGCCTGCGACGCCATTATATCCTGGCACAACACCATTGCTCTCATCAATACTGAAATGTCTATTTTGAAGAAATGGGTAGGCAATGAGGAGCTCGATTTCACCAAGCCCCGCCCGCGCTCTTCCCAAGATCACCATCTGACCGACGAGTCTTCGTTTATCGACCGGATACTCAAGGAAGACGGTCTCAAGTCCCTGCAGGGAGACACCAACCTGCTCGCACCCTTGGAAAAGGTCATCCAAAAGGCCAAGACCACGCTCATTGCAAACGCAGAGGGCTTCGCTGACAGGCACCTCCCACCCTACATTGAGGAGTTGCTTACCCTAATCAACTTTCCCTCGCGTCTTCTACAGGAGATTATCCGCGTCCGCCTCTCCTACGCCAAAAAGATCAAAGATCCATCGCAGCAAGGCGTCATGATGGCCGAGCAAATGATTGCCCAGTTCCGCATCCTGCTGGCCATGGCGGGTCAGGTCAAAGAAAGCTATATGATAATTTCGCGACCAGAGCCCGGCTGGGACCTACCTCCCTGCATTGAGGAGAATTTTGACCTTGTCGTACTTGACGCCCTCAAGTTTTACTTCAAGATGCTGAATTGGAAACTGGCAGCCAACAAGAACACATTCAAAGAGGCTGAAATCCTGGAGCAGGAGTGGGACTTTTGCAACAAGCTCGGCCGGCAGCTTCAAGGCGGCGATGTCGTGACTGCAGAGCAGTTCAGTGTGCTCACCTCCAAGTCGCTGACCCGTCTCAGTGCGCACTTTGAGCGTGAGCTGCAGCGTCGGCCGGATGAGCTCACTGGATCGGAGATGGAAAAGCGCTACAAGCAAATTTTGGATTCCGTGCGTGTACGACAGCGTAAGCTCTACCGTTTTTCGAGAATTCTGACGCAGCGTTTTGAAAACTGTACCGAGTATAGTATCAATCACATTGACCTGGACGAGGAGCAGCTCCACGAGCTGTACGAGGCACTAGTCATGACTGGGCACTTTCTCGTCGAGACAGCTAGTACCAACAATTCGGGCGTCTATATTGTTGCGTCGTCCACTGCACTTGACCGCCCCAACGATATTCAGTCACTTCTCACAACCTGTTACCATGCAGAAGAGGCTCCTGAAGATCCTTCCAACCCCTATGTTCTCATCATCAAACCAGAACAGCCCCTCTACTGGTCGGGTAAGAGAATGTCAGCCAACATTGTTGAGCCCCATTTGGATCTCAAGGCTGGCCGGTTGCGTCTGGTCGCTGATGGTTCTCAGCAACGGCTGGCCAACGCAAACATGTCGTTTTTGTCCTCCATCGGCATCGAACTCAACATGTTGATTGATCAGCGAGCCAATCTTCCACGTGTCAATGCTGAATTGCTCAAAATCAAGCATACAGCATATAGTTTGTCAAACACTATCATGGACAGCGTCGAGATTGTCCGCAAGCAGACTGTCGGCCTTGACTGCCAGGACCTCATCCAAACCTGCTTCGCCTTTGCAACAGAATTTGGTCAGCGTTCGGTGCTCTACTTAGACTACAACCGACGAGCAATGAACAACATCAAGCTTACAAGGTTAGCACTCGACTGGGTTAGCTTCATCTGCGATGACTGTATTGCGTCTGATCGCAAGACCTTCCGCTGGGCTGTCGTCGCTTTGGAATTCGCCATGATGATGACCCGCGGTCAGAACATTCTGTCCATCAGCGATGAGGAGTACTCGCAGTTGCGGCTCAAGGTTGCGGGCTGCATGTCAGTGCTCATTTCCCACTTTGACATTATGGGCGCCCGATCGACCATTGCCGCTCAAGCTGAGCGACAGCGATTGAATGCCATTGCTGGAAAGAGCATGCTGGACCCCAAGAATACCAAAGATGATGACGAATCCATCAAAATTACACAAGAGCAGTGGATGCAGAGACTCGAGGAGATTGACTCATTCCGAAAGGAAAAGGAAGCTGAACGCCAGGCCCTAGGCAGAGTACTGGAGGATTCTAACGAAGCCGACCGAGCTCTGACATACCTCTCTTCATCTGCCACCAACGTCACCCTACGATGGCAGCAGGGACAGTTTGTTGGCGGTGGTACTTTTGGATCAGTATACGCAGCCATGAACCTCGATTCTAACCACCTCATGGCCGTCAAGGAAATCCGGCTTCAGGATCCTCAGCTGATCCCTACAATCGTCGCCCAGATCAGAGACGAGATGGGCGTGCTACAAGTACTGGACCACCCCAACATTGTGTCGTACTATGGTATCGAACCGCATCGCGACAAGGTGTACATTTTCATGGAATACTGCTCTGGTGGTTCTCTTGCTGGCCTGCTGGAGCATGGACGCATTGAAGATGAAACTGTCATCATGGTCTACGCCCTGCAAATGTTGGAGGGTCTGGCCTATCTACATGATGCTGGTGTAGTACACCGTGACATCAAGCCTGAGAGTAAGTCTCTTTATCTTTACTACGCATTATTTTACTAACATTATCTAGACATCCTGCTGGATCACAATGGTGTAATCAAGTTTGTCGACTTTGGTGCTGCAAAGCTCATTGCTCGCCAAGGTCGAACGCTCGCCGCAGAACACAACGCCACGCGTCAAGGCCGTCAACGCTCCATGACCGGAACACCCATGTACATGTCTCCTGAAGTTATTCGCGGCGGAAGCACTGGCCGTCACGGCGCCGTTGACATCTGGTCACTCGGCTGCGTGATTCTGGAAATGGCCACTGGCCGGCGTCCCTGGGCATCTATGGATAACGAATGGGCCATCATGTACCACATTGCCCAAGGCGATCCACCACAACTACCGTCCAAGGATCAACTAAGTGAGCAGGGCATTGACTTTTTGAAGAAATGCTTTGACCGCGATCCGAACAAACGAGCCAGCGCAGTCGAGTTGCTACAACACGAATGGATCATGACACTTCGCGCTCAGCTCAGCCTAGAGCCAGCGACGCCAAGTGATAGCAATTCAAGCAGTGGAACACCACATAGTAGTAGGCATAACTCCACCTACAACTAAACCCCTATCTTTTCTGCTCTCCTTCCTTCGCTGTTTTCCCTTTACCCGACAGGAGACAAGTTGGTTTTCTGGATTGCAGTTTCTATGGACTAACGCAAATTGTTTTCTTGCTACTAGTTGCCCGTCGTCTCTCGCTGCGGCGATCCAGCCTCGACGCCAGTAGATGCGGTCCATTAAGTCCCGTTTCGGTAACTTCGCCTACTAGCAGCATCAGCCCACTTTCTCCATTTCATCCTGCTGCCGTGTCATTGCCTCTTACACCTTCGGCTGGCACCGGTGGTGGTAGTGGGCCGTATTTTTACTTTCCCCCGCCAGCCTAATGCTACAATCTTGCTCCCCCCGCCTATATTCCATTGAGAGTAGCGGGGCAAGAAGCGACTAGTCTAGCTGGGGCCATCCCCTCTCCCTTTGTTTTTTTTCCCCTCCCTCCTAGAGAACCTCTACTTGAGTGTTCGTCGATGTCGGCAAAGACTGTAAACATTCTCCTCTTTCCTCTACTTTCTTTCTTTCTTTCTCTCTTTGTTTCCCTCTCATGTCTCCCTCTGGCATTGAATTTGTTGAACCTGCCTACATACCTACCTTTCCCCTTTTTTTTGGCGTCTTCCTCCTTCACGCACAACATCCCCTCCCCCATCGTTTCACCCCGCCACCGCCTCCGGGGTCAAAAAAGAACAAATAATAAAAAAAGGGGGGGGGAGGATCAATGCCCAGCAAACAGCTAACAGAACACTCATCTGATCAAAAAAATCTCAAGACGCGAATTCTGGAAGCAACAAGGGAAAGAAAAGTTGGGAAGTCATCATATTGCATTAGCGATGGCGTTTTCTTATCTTCTTCTCCTCCTCCGCTTCTCTCTTTCTCTCATATTTTTCTATGTACCTTTCCTTCTTGTTGTTGTTGTTGTCGTGTTTCTTTCGTTGGTTACTTCTCCCCGCTATTCTTTCATCGTTTTTTTTCTTTTTGGCTGTCCACGCACATATACATACGCACGCACATATATGCTGTTATGCATGCATTAGGGGAGACTTTGATTGCTCAAGTTTTGGTAGTATCTATCAGGTTGGTTGGGGGCTGGGAGAAATGTCTTTGGGGGCGTTCCCTTTTCTTTTTGGTCTGTCTGTGCCATGAACCATGAATGAGGTTGGGAGTGGTACATATCTAAGCAACGATTGCCTCCGTGTGAGGCTTATTCACACAATCTTGGCTGCTTGTCTCACTCTGAAATGCTCTTCGATGTCATGCAGAGATGTTTTCCTCCTGTCGCTTGTGTGGCAACAAGTCTGCTGGGTGTACAGTCTATCGTCTATTCCTCAGTCATACTCTCGTATTCTAAGAGGAAATGTCATAAACACCACGGTCCCCCCTTTACTGCACCATCGTCTATTTGCCGTCGCGCATGCTGCGGAAAAAGTCCATGACACCTGTGAAGACAACAAGCAGAATACCACCTCCAGGACCCAATCTCAGAACCTTTGGCACGAAACCCTTGTACAGTGCTGGGAAGCCTTCCTCCCTCATGACGGTGCCGAGGGCAGGCCATGCCCAGTTGTACTTGGGTACTGAGCCTGCAACCTTGGGAGAGTTCTGGATGCGCGACTTGACCACGTCCATGGGCGTGTTGAGAATGGTACCGACAGTGCCACCAATAGCGCCAGACACAAGGTCGTTGGTGATTTGTGACTTCTTGTCGGTTGCCACGGGCATGAGAGCGCGGACCTGGAAGATGCATCCAAAGTAACCGGCGTTCCACAGAATGTGCCTCCACAGGGTTGACTCAAGACCTTGGTATAGGGTAAGAGGACCTTCCTGCTTGACAATCTTCATGACACAGTCCATCATGCCGTTGTACTTGTGCGCTTGCGCGCGGTCTTGTAACCGAATCTTGACCAGCTCAAAAGGTACGACGACGAAGGACTCGGTTGCACCGGCAGTTGCGCCCGTGAGGATAGAGAGCGACTGGTTCATCTTGGACTGGCCAAAGAGGTTGCGGTAGAAGGAACCCCATGAGTCATTGGCAGCGAACTTGGTAGCCCTAGGCTATGTCAGTCAGACGCTCAATCGGAAGACGGAGATGAAATCGCCTAGCGAAATGCGCACCTCTTTGGCGCTTCCATGAGAATGGGAGCGGTGATACCGCGGTACAATCTTGAGGCACTGCCAGACGTCAGCCCCTCATCTTCATCGCGACATATGCGTCAAAGATGTACCCCTCGTTCTTGATGATCTTCTTGAAGCAGTCCAACATGCCATTGTATCCCTCGTCCCCAACTGCCTTGCCGGTCTGAAGTTGTCTGCGCACATTTAGAGTCGGTTGTGGAGCCATTGGATAAGTCGTTTCTTACACCCGAGTCTTGACAACGTCCAACGGGTACCTTGAGACAAGTTAGCGGTGCTCGCATGGAAGCATAGAAGATATTGGAACCATACATGATCAGAATCTAAATGCGCCCGACCCATTAGCATTGGGAAATATCACGCGAGCTTGGTGGTGCAGCAGTTGCACGCACTCACCTCGGACACACCAGCCACGGCGCCTACACGCATAGACAGTCAGTACCTGTTCATATGACAACATTTCTAAAGCTCGGGCAGGATTGTGAGGCTGCCTCGGTAGAGGGGGAAAAGCGCATGCAAGCCTTATGCATTTTCCTGGGAGCTACCGGAATTTGTGCGCACTACCGTCGCACAGGCATTGAGCAGCACTAGAGCATATGGACTTACCAGCCGCGAACTGGTAGACGAAGGGCAACGGCTTCGCATCTGCGGAAGACATGTTGAGGGGGATGTGGTGTGGTGAAGGAGGGGAATGTCGGAGGGGAAGGGAATATCGGCAGCGAGAAGAAGGGCCGACCGAGGGCCAGCGACAGCGATTTGCGGCACGCAATCTGGGGAAAGAGGCCCTAGAGCACAAGCGTGGGATGTGCTTCCAAAGTAGTCCTAGCTTCCCATCGTTGGTTCTAGGACACAGCGTGGGCTGCGCGGTAAAAGCAATTATCCAGCCCGTCCCGTGCGGGCGATATCCCACCACGATACCAATTTTTTCCGCAAAATCTAGTAATACGTCGAATAATGTCAACTTGCTAGCTGCCGTTAGCCACAGGCGCTGCCGCACCGCTAGCGCATGTCACGCACTATTGTTCTCTTTCTTACAGTAAGTACATGGGTACCGACATGGCTTGGCCGCGGCCACCTGCAGCACGTGACGTCGCCCTTGAACTGCCCGCCACGTGCGATGCTATTGGCTGCCCGCGACGCGTGAACGCGCTCAACCCACCAGACGTCACGCCAACAATCCGCCTCCATGTCCACGCGACAAAAGTCCTTCTTTGACCAGGATCAGAAGCCAAAGGTACTTTGACTGCATATATACTGTACTGGAGGACCACACTCATTCCACATTCACATAGCAATATCGAGGCCAATGGAACCGCACGCGCAACGGCGCCTTCCCCCACCAGAATAATCAGAGCGCCCCCTCCACGCGACAGGTAGTGACTGGACCACCCATCATGCCGTCGACTCAGACGCGTACGAAGCTCAAGGCTTTCCAATTCGTCGAGGGCGCGCCATCCGTCGACAGTGTCAAGGAGCGCGAGGCTGAGAAAGAGAATATACATGCTGCGCCGGGAAAAGGGTCCAAGTTAGTCGGCACCCCTAAAACAAGTAGGGTTGTCAAGGACGTTGGAAATGTGAATAAGACTCCGAAACCGCCGACTGTCACAGACTGCCCGCCACCATCAACACCGGCCACTACTAGATTGCCGCTGGCGGACCTCGTGGGTAATGTCGACGATTCCTCGAGACATGTGCCGCCGCCCGCCGCCTCGCCTGAAGAGCAATTGATATGGAGAGGATCGCAAGCGGTGAATACGCCCTTGCCACGAAAGAACAAGAAGCGCGCCAGGAGTTCATCGCCCGTCCCGTCCCAAGACGAGTCTAGACTGGATCCGAACAAGCAGGACATGACAACACCTCAGGCCGATCCTGCCATGGAGCTTTGGTCGCGGTACACAAACAGCAAGGGAACGCCGACTGCCAACAAGAGCGCAGCATTCGCCCACCTCATCAACGAGTCGTCTCCTAGATCTGCCGCGGCTGCTGGAAGTGTCAGTGGGCTTCGAAGATGGGCGAGCTGTGGCGTTGAGTTTCCCGCATCAAACCGGAAGAAACGAAGGATGCACGGTGTATTCCAGGCGGAACAGGCAGCCGAGGACGTGTTTGCTGACCCTCCAAGTTCAGACGGCATGCTGCTTGGGCAGCAAGCCAAGCCAAACCTTGCGAGCATCGTGCAGCGAATGAGGGAATGCGTCTCAAAATCGGAATCCCACCCACCGTCACAATTGCCATCAAGTTCCTCGCCGTTGCCACGGACTGGCGGTTGCCAAGGTACATCGTCGGGCTCTCCTCTTCAGCGGCGTACCCGGGACCAAAACGTGGATGCTTTGGAGACATCGCAACATGATTTACCGCCTTTAGACGACGATTTGGACGAAGATGGTGAGCTTGTGCAAGATGAGGAACATGCCAAAGTTGAGCCGTCTGTACCAGGTCCGCTCCAAACATCCCCAGGGTCATCTGATGATTTTGGAGACGATGACTTCGACGCGGACTTGGTAGAAGCCTTGGATGTGACACCCCAAGAAGTTGATCAACCAGTCCTCTCAACGAGCCATGCTACAATCTCTCATCAATCTCCAAACGTGCCTCCGCAACAACACACTACAGCTGTTCCTTCAAAACTCGGAAGTGACGATGAGTTTGGAATGGACGACGAAGATGACTTTGCTGCTGATCTGGAGCAAGTAGCATCACTGTACGATACGAGGTCGCTGGAACCTCAGACAGCTGATCCAGTCCCGACAGCAGACAAGAGTTTATCCGCAGCTCCTGTCGACACATCGTCAGCCACGATCATCAATTTGGTAGACGATGATGACGACTTTGGTGAGGACATAGACGCCGATGAGTTCGCCGCTGCCGAAGTTGCTGCTACGCAATTGCCCACGAATATTGTATGTAAAACACATACCTTCCTGAAGAAAGAGCCACATTAACCCTTGAAGAGTCCACAGGACAACAGAGCCATTCAGCGCTATCTGGTTAAAAGGGTAGATGAGAGTTCGTATACAACTGACCGTGGCTATCAAATGCCTGGAAAAGTGGGTAGTATATTGAAGAATAGACTGAATCGTGTAGCTGATGTCGCGTAGGTCCTGTTGGTTGAGGAAGAAAAGACGAAGTTGTTCAAAGTCATCACGCTGCGGCAAGCTTGGTTTGACACGCCTTGCACGGCTGATTCGTTCGTACATGTTATTGGAGAGTTCACAAGCACTGGACAGTGTATTGTAGACGATCACCACAACATGCTTATCTTGCATCCAGACCATTTGATCTCGTCAACCGTTGTTGCAGATTCTTTTGGCTGTCTACGGCGAGCAGTGCTTCAAGACCGTGTAAAAGCGACCAGCAAAGCCAATGCGCCAATGTTGTACGGAACGCTTCTGCATGAGCTCTTTCAGGAAGCCATCAAGGCGAACAAATGGGACACGACTTTTCTTTTGGGCACGACTGAGAAACTCCTACCGAACCACTTGGAGACGATACTGGAGATCAACTCAACATGCGAAGCCGTCAAGGAGCATATGAGCAGTAAGCTGCCTGAGCTGCAGGCTTGGGCTAAGGTGTTTGTCTGTGCGGAGCCCCAGGCTGACGCTATTGTTCGAGAACGCAACGGGCGGCAGTGCACGATGAGCATCAACAAGCTGCTCGACGTTGAGGAGCACGTTTGGTCTCCTATGTACGGTTTGAAAGGCAATATCGATGCTACGGTTCAAGTCACGATGCGGGACGACCAGGGTGAGCGGACCTTGACCGTTCCCTTCGAAGTCAAGACTGGCAAGAACTCTTCCAATGCCGCCCATGTTGCACAAACTGCCTTGTACAACTTGCTGTTGTCAAATCGATACGGTGTGTTTCTTTGACGCTTTTCTGCTCTCTAGCTGACTGTAACAGATGTTGATATTGCTTACGGCATTTTGTACTATCTCGAAACTTCAGACATTAGTCGTATTCCTGCTATTCGTAACGACATTATTCATATGATTATCAAGCGGAACGAGTTGGCGTGTTACGTTCGAGATCGGATCGAACTACCACCGGTACTCAAAGAAGATTTCAAATGCCAAAAGTGCTATGCACAGGAAGCATGTTTTCTATATCACAATCTTGTTGAGGACGGTAAGGGCGAAATGTTGAACAAGAAAGCGAAAGAGCGATATGACGAGCTGGTGGCACCATTGCAACCTTCTCATCGAGAATTCATGAAGAAATGGGATACGCTCTTGACCAAGGAGGAAACGGATATGATGAAATTTCGGCGTGAGCTGTGGACCATGCTCAGTACCGAACGCGAGAAACTGGGCCGTTGCTTCTCCAACGTCATACTGGAGCCTGGATCTGCGTATGAAGAGAAAACGGGCCAAAAGATCAACCGCTACAGCTACACATTCATCAAACAGCAACCAACGCCTGGTTTCTCTTTCACAGAGTCGCAACTTATCGTTGGCGAACCTATTGTGGTATCCGATGAGCAAGGTCACTTTGCACTGGCCAACGGGTACGTGATGAATGTCAACAAGCGGCGCATCACTGTCGCTGTCGACAGGCGACTACATAACTCTCGCACTAAGCTTCCAGGATTCAACTCGCAAAACAACCAGACCTTTGCCGGCATTATGGAAGTTACCAAGGAAGGCGAGACAACTGCCAAATCCGAGACCGATGAGGAACCTGTCTTGTACAGGCTGGACAAGGACGAATTCAGCAGTGGTATGGCCGCAGCTCGCAACAATCTCATCCAAATCATGGACAACAATGTATACAAAGCGAATGACCTGCGGGCGCTAATTGTGGACGGTCGGGCTCCTGCTTTCAAGCCCACTGCAAATGCGCCTTCAATACCCAAATCCTCGCAGATGTCCATGAATTCCGACCAAAAGGCTGCTGTGTCGAAAGTCATGTGTGCAAAAGACTATGCTCTTGTGCTGGGAATGCCAGGAACGGGAAAGACAACCACGATCGCACACATCATCCGGACACTTGTTGCTCAAGGGAAAAGTGTACTTTTGACCTCATACACACACACTGCTGTCGACAATATTCTTCTCAAGATCCGCGACGACAAGATTGGCATACTGCGGCTTGGCGCCTCGAAGAAGATACACCCCGAAGTTCGAGAATTCGCCACTCTTGCAGCAGAGCCAAAAGAGAGTGTTGAGGCACTTGAGAATTCGTGGATGCAACCGCCTGTCGTGGCTACCACTTGCCTCACTATCAACCATCCTCTCTTCAACCGCCGTATCTTTGACTACTGTATTGTGGATGAAGCTTCGCAGATCACACTGCCAGTGTGTCTTGGCCCCATCCGTATGGCCCAGAAGTTCATTCTTGTCGGCGATCACTACCAGCTACCTCCGTTGGTACAGAACAAGGAGGCTATGGAAGGTGGGCTGGACGTGTCACTTTTCAAGCTCCTCTGTGAAGCTCATCCACAAGCGGTTGTCAGCTTGGAGCACCAATACCGCATGTGCGCTGATGTCATGCTTCTATCCAATACCTTCATATACTCTGGACGATTAAAGTGTGGCACACCCGCCGTCGCCGCTCGCACACTGAAGCTTCCTAGACCCGACGGTCTTGCAGCCTACCATCATAAGCTACAGATGTCTCGATCCAGTGCAGTGCAGACTTGCACTGGCCCTGGTGCTGTCAATTGCTGGCTTTCTCGTTCTTTGTCACCGGATCAGCCTGTGGTTTTCATCAACACCGATCCTGTTTCCCCGATTCTCGAAACACAATCCGGGCCTCGTATAACTAATGCGTTCGAAGCACGCCTTGTTACGCAGCTCACTGTTTCACTGCTCAGCCTTGGAATCACTGTCGACGAGATTGGCATCATTGCTTTCTATCGTTCGCAGCTTGCTCTTCTAAGACAGGGTCTGTCCGCCGCCTACACCCAAACTCAGTCTTCTGAGCTCTCTGCACCGGTGATTAGCGGCCAGGGGGGCGCGGGCGTCGAACTGCATACTGCCGACAAGTTCCAGGGTCGCGACAAGGAAGTCGTCATTGTATCCTGTGTACGCAGCAACGAAAACGGTATTGTGGGCGACTTACTCAAAGACCGAAGGCGTGTCAACGTTGCTTTGACGCGAGCTCGTTCCAAGCTCATCATACTCGGTAGTGAAAAGACACTATCGAGCAACGAGCTCCTTCGCGACATGGTGGCGCTGTGCAGAGAGAAGGACTGGGTTTTAGACCTTCAGTCTGACATGGTCGAATCTCACGCGTTCGATGAGACTGTCACACAAACCAGCAAAACGCCAGTCCGACCACACTCTTCTTCACGCGTTCTAGATACTGCGGCAAGCCCATCGCTCACACCTAGTCCCCTCAAGAAGCGGAAAGCACTCGATGACCTGACGACCACTCCTAGCAAAGTCAACACCAGGAGCCCGAAGAAGCGGATTGGGAGTAAGAGCGCGAGCCGCAGTCCTGAAGCGAAGAAAGTGCCAGGCAAGGTTTTTACGGCTGGGAAGCGTGGTATCTTGGATGGTAGGCCAATACTGAAGGATATTTACAATGGCGCAATCTAATGAGTGGGTGGATTTGGGTTTGTCAATATGTGGACGTTGGCTGTGCAGAGACTACGCACTGGTGCGAGTTGTTATATATTTCTACTACGTGTTTGCAGGGATAGGATAATAAGAGGTGGACTTAGTGTAGGATATCACGGCGTGATTGGATGAATATTAGCGTAGCGTAACGGGCATGAAGTGAACGAATGAGATACCGCAGCAAATGTATAGATTCCTGATCTTTCTTCTTAGCTTCAAGGTTAATCGCCTCTATGTCAGCATCGTAGGGATCGTTACTGACTCGCCATCAGCCGATCTAGATCTGGTATATTAGGGTTATTTTCCACCCGATATAGGGCATAAGCGCTATGTTGCTTACTGAACTACTCTTAGATATGCGCTAATAACGACATCCATCAGGTTTGTATGAAAAGGCTGTTGTGTGTGGCATCATCGTTTGGAAATACTAGTTCAGATTTCCTACCCAAGGGGAACCATAACCCCTATCCAAGAACCACTCTCTCCACCCCCTCCAAGCCTCGAAATCCGCACAGACATTACATTTCATGGTATTAAACTCATCAGGGTATGCGCCTTTTGTTGACCCCGAAGAAAAGCCGATTCTGAAGCCAAGGTACAAAAGACGTCGCTCCAGTTACTCTATACGGTGGGCAATCTCTCTTCCCACGTGGTTCACGTCATTCAGCACGGTAGTGAAGATAGTGAGGACTCCAGCAGATTGGTATCCCAGTCCTGGCTGAATGGCGTAATTCAACATCGGCATCGAGCACGGGAAAGCTTGTAGCGAATGATAGATGCCTAGCATTGAGGTGACTCGTTAGTGCTTATCGAGTAATGCCTGGGGCCTTGACCGTACCTTGTTCGCTATCAGCTGAGCCGCCAGAGTAAACCCATAGCCACAAGATACGGGCATAGTACGTGTGGAGTCTTGGTACTCCTCTAGATGCCTGTGCTTAAAAATCACTCACGCTACAGACCAGATAGGAAAGGAATCTACTTCTGCCCACTTCTTCTGCACGGATAATCAGGTCTTTTGTAGACTTTGAAAAGGATAAAATGGAATTTACTTGGTTCAGAGAAAGGGGAATAGATAGGTAGCTTTGAGGATCGAAATCATGTTACTTTTGCGGCAATGAAAATATCTGGGAGAAGGGTGGTGATTTTCTTGGTTTTCACTTTCTCCAACACTACGAAGAATTGAATACGAAGGTTGTATTTTCGGTAAAAAAAAGTGCAGGCTTACAGACTGGTTTTACGCCGACTTGGTACTGTGGCATGGGTAGCTCTTGTAATAGTCTGAGATGGAGTGGCGAGGATCTGCAACTTTCGCTAAGTACGTATGGGAAAAGCGTAAGCAGCATATTGGATTCCTTGCATGCCTGTACCATAGCGAAGGGCTGCTGATACTATAGGCAAGGATCTGATATATTGTTGGTTTAATGTGTGTATATGCTATATATAGTTATAAGTGGTTCGTCTGGTATAAAACCCGCTGTGATTGCGATGTGCAGTTCTACATACATACACTGATTCAGGCCTATCTTTTGTGCCACCGAGCCTAGCCTGGGGTGCATCCTAGCTATTCTATTCTTCGCTTAGCGCTGGTACCTACCTTATAACCCGTGGATATATTACTAAAGGTTTCTGTTACCGTAATAATGAGAGGCTAACAAGTAGCTAGTACCGTGTCAAGACAGCCTACTTGATACTAGGCCTGCAGAATAACAAGCCCGAAGTCCATTACACGTGGGCTTGGATTAGGATACTAGTCTACTCGTGTGTTAGCTGGATGGCTTAGATTTCTTGGTGTTCTAGGTGTAAGTCAGGTATAAAGCGTGGTGTTGGCCTCCCCCTACAGCCTTTGGTTACCACGTTTCATTAATTATCCTGCTGTTGACCCATTCAAGGTATGCACTATCGCAAAGAATTTTGTTGTGTATTTTGGAAAGGATAGAATTGTCTCGGGTAATGCTGACTAGAATACAGATACACCTTGATCCTGGAAATTCTGATCGTCTGATTCAAACATGAAGCTAGCACTACTTGTCGCATTATGCCCTCTTCTTGAGGTCGTGTCAGCGGGTATCTGCTGCAGCAGGAATTTCATAGAAAACTGCGAAGGCGGTGTTGCTAAACTATGTGTAAGTGCCATGTGATGACGTCTTCTTCTTTTCTTCTTCTTCTACAAGCTCTATAAAGCAGAGAGAGAGAGGGAGAGAGAAGAAACTATTCTGCACGTCTACGTACATACTACCTCTTTCTTTGGCCAAAATCTAACACACCACGCCTGTGTGTCACAGTGCTACCCGAAATACAATGCGCGTAAACGCAACTGCAAAAACCATTTTCCAAACTTTTTCAAGACGTTTACAACATACGATAACAGTATATGTACGGAGGGTGGTGAAGCCGGCATTGTTGTTTGTGCGGGTACTTAGGTTGAGAGAGATACCCTACGCTGTAGTGTGTGTGTGTGGGAGAGTATAATGAGTACATGTTGGGGCTGGGACATGATGGGTTATTGGGCATCACTGGCTTGATGGGCAGGAACCGGCAAAGGTACCACGTCGTCTATGTGGAAGTTTGAACGTTATATAAGCTATAGTCTAGACTGAGAGTTTTAAGGCTGAAATAAAGCTAAATTTCTGTTATGATCCGTCTCATATCGACTACAACGGCATTGGAGCCATTCCACTGGTAGTTATGTACCAATCTTATTGCCCAGTGTGTTTGTATGCTGTTGGAGCCGCGTGGAGATGCCGACGGGATGACGCTTTTTGGCATTGCCGACGCGCGGTCAGTTGGTATACCGGGCATTCACAGGAGTAGTGCTTGTATGGCAGTGTATCAAGACCAGCGGGTGGCGAGTCCTCTTTGGCTCATAGTAGTGGTTGGTCACTGCATGCGTATAATGCAGGTCAGGTATAAGCGCGGCTTCCCCAACTGGCAGGTACGCATTGCAAGTGACGACACCACAGGCACCACTGTTGCTGTATGCAGCCCGCCTTAACCGTCCACATCACGCGACGACTTGGATACACGGACTCTGACTCATCGACACGGCGGCTGGGAGCATCGAGTTGGGCCAAGATGACGACTCTGCATCTCCCATCACCTTTGCCCAGCACTCACCTTGGTTTACGGCAGATATTGCAACGACGACTCTCACCACCACCCTCGCACATCTGCCGACATGCCGCTGGAAATGCGTCCGATGACGACCGACGACACGTTATCTTGGACACGCGTCCGCGCACTTGCCTACTATGGCCCTACGCATGATGTACTGCATTCCGGGCCCATCAGCGAGTCGTCGATACGCCGCGTGGCCGAGGACCGCAAGCGGGAAATGGGCCAGCCAAACACCTGGCACTGGAAGGTCGTCGACACCGATGCAGCGCCCAGTGCTGACGACCCGCCCGACAATGGCGGGCGAAGCATTGCAATCTCGGTGTGGAGCATGCACAATGTTGTGGCGGATAAACAAGCAGAGGACAGCACTGAGGAGTCGTCTATACCGGCAGAAAAAGCCGACAAGGCTCCAGGCTTCGTACCTCTTGAGCTGCGCGTCGATGCCTTGAGCTCACTCCTTGGCCCGCTGCGTGCGGCGCAGCACGCTATCATGGGCACATGGCAACCTTTCTTCAAGCTTAACTCGCTCGCGACACATCCGGACTACCAGGGCCGCGGCGCAGCGACCATGATGCTGGACTGGGGGCTGCAAAAGGCGGACAAAGAGGACCTGGTCACGTATCTGGATGCAACGCAAACGGCCAGGCCCTTGTATGAGAAGCGAGGGTTCACGCTGGTCAGGGCCATCGAGTGGGATCGGGCGCCGTGGGGCGGCGAGGGGAAAGACTGTCATGCGTGCATGGTGCGAGGGGCTGCGAAGGATAATTAGTGAAAAGAGCACGGGACGGTAGCCACGACACGATGAATGCAAGACGTGCCTATTTGTCGCATCACGCTGGCGAGAGAGGGGACCAAGCATGCAGGTTCAAGGCGTGTGAAGCTTCGCACCCACGGCGCTGGAGCCGGCAAGCCGCCCTTAGCAGCCGTGGCCAGGTCGCGGGTAAGTAAGCCCCCTACCCCCTCCGCCCCCCGCAGAACAAGGTGCAGCAGGCGCAGGTGCAGGCGCAGGCACAGGCACTGGCGCCCATGCTGGCGGAAGAACAGGCGGTCGGGGTGTTATCGAGGGCGATGCTGAGGCAGCGATTGCGCCATGTCGCCTCGGCTGCCAGCTTTGCGCCAGTGCCCGTGTGACGTAGGGTAGGATGGCCAAGTAGCGCAAGCACAGCTAGGGCAATGCAACGGGCGTCGTGAGCAACGGGCGTGCGCGCGCGTGTGTGTGTGCCACTGTTGGAGCCCTCTTCCCGCTGGCCAGGCTATTATGTACTCCGCGTGCGTATGCAGCATAGCGTAGCCGGCGGGCGGGCGGGCTCCATCTGATGATGCATTTGCTGGGCAAGGAGCCTGAGTTGCCCCGAGGCGCATCCTTCCACCAGGCCGTCTCTGCCTCTTATTCCAAACCCCAGCCTCCACTGCTCCCTCTGCTACTCGCACCCTCCTCGCCCTCCCCCGCCCCTCACCACTATCCGCCCCTGGTCGCCGACCGCATGTCCGCGCAGCCCTAATCAAGGGGGCGCCATGGCACGCAACGCGCGGAAGCGCATCTCGTACGGTACGCAGTGCTGCCTCTTTGCAAGCCCCCGGCCCAGCGCCAAAGGGCTGCCGGGGAACAAGCTGACGGGAAATCTGTACAGTGCTGCCACTTGCCAATTCCGCCGGAGGTCATAGGCTCGGGGTCAATGGTTTGGCCGTCCACCCTCAGAACTCGATCCTGTATGTACCCGCGACCCTCGGAGCCCGCCGCCGCAACTGACCTCGCACAGCTACTCGGGCGGCCGCGACGGTGTGATATGCGCATGGGACCTGCATCTCGACCTGGACAAGACGGCTGCCGACGAGCGCGACCCTTTTGCCGACTCCAACGCTGCCGATTTCAAGCCGCCGCCTACGCAGTTTCGCCAGCAAGTCCAGGCCCATACTCACTGGATCAACGATATTGTCCTCGCCCAGAACAACAATGCCCTCGTCTCAGCCTCGTCCGACATCACCGTCAAGGTATGGCGACCCGCCGCGACAGACAACCTCCCTCCCCAGACCATCGGCCTGCATACCGACTACGTGAAGCGCGTTGCATCGCCTGGCGGCAATGAGAACTGGATAGCCTCGGGCGGACTGGACCGCAAGATCAGCCTGTGGGACCTCAATGGCGCGGGCAAGAAGCTGGAAATCGCAGTGGGCGAGGACGAGAACACGGCAAAGGGCTCCGTCTATGCCCTGGCAGTCACACCAAACCTTATTGCTAGCGGTGGTCCAGAAAGCATCGTCCGCGTGTGGGACTCGCGATCCGGCAAGCGCATCACCAAATTTGTGGGACACACAGATAATGTGCGCGACATTCTCCTGGCGCAGGACGGGGACATGATTTTGACTGGCTCCTCGGACCAGACGGTCAAAGTGTGGTCCATGACGGCCGGTCGTTGCATGTACACGCTCACCATGCACAATGATAGTGTGTGGTCGCTCCACTCAGACTCACCGACCCTCGAAACTTTCTACTCGTCAGACCGGTCGGGCCTGGTGGCCAAGAGCGACGTCCGCGACTGCGCCGAGATGGATGAGGGTCTCTCAGTGGCAGTGTGCCAGGAACACGAAGGTGTAAACAAGCTCGTTGCAGCAGGCGACTACATTTGGACGGCCACATCGAGCTCAAGCATCAACCGCTGGCTCGATATCGAGACAGCCGCTGATATTGAGCTTCCAGAGTCATACAAATGGCATAGGAATAGTGTGTCGACTATGCGATCTCGAGTTCCTTCACCCCCAGGCAATAGTCCTCCGACCAACGGAGCAACGCCCAAGATTCCGCTCAAGTCGTTGCTGCGCATGTCCAATACCGCACCATTTCCTCAAGCAATGGCCACCAAGGATGCCGATACCGCGACTGTAGCAAGTTCGCGGAAACCTTCCGAGGGGTTGACAGAACCGGACCACAGTGCAGTTGGTACTGTTCGTGCGCTACCAGACTTCACCATTGAAGGCCAAAACGGCCTCATAAAACATCATCTGCTCAGCGATCGACGGAGAGTCCTTACTCTCGACACCGCAGGAGAAGTCGTCTTATGGGACCTACTACAGGTGCGCGATACATGCATTTCTCACACCCAGCAGCTAACATTAGCAGTGTATGCCCGTCAAGTCGTTTGGCAAAAAACACATGGAAGACGTTTTGCCAGAAGTGAATACTCAGGACAGTGTTGCTCACTGGTGTGCTGTCGATACAAGGATAGGAACCTTGACATGCATGCTAGAAGAAAACTATTGCTTTGATGCCGAAGCATATGCAGACGAGCTAGACCTAGAAGAGAAGATTGATTTCAGGGAAGATCATAGAAGTGCGTGCCCAAGAATACTTTGCAAATTCTCGCTAATCCTGTGCAGTAAATCTTGGCAAATGGATCCTGCGATACCTCTTCTCTAATCTCATCGACGAAGAGATCAAGCGTGACGAGGTGGCCCGGTCTGAGTTGGTGAAGCAAAAGCAGGAACAACCACAGGAAGGCCGACCCACGAACATTGAGCTTCCGGACGTCAACATCAACGGCTGGAAAGACGCGGTTTCTGGGCCTACTTCAGCATCGACCATCAAGGCTGAAAATGGATACCGCTTACCGCACACACCAGGCCTGGCCATCGGTCTGGCAACACCAATGGCAGGTCCAGGAAGTGCAGGGCGCAACTCGGCCACTGCTGCCCTGACGCCGACCAAAGAAGAGGGTGCACAGTTGGAAACGACTCAGACACGACGAAGCTTGAACCAAGAGGGCGGAGACTACTTTGGTTCGGCCACGGAGACCAATGGCAACGGAAATGCCAAAGCTGGTGAGCCTGCCAAGGAAGGCTCAACAGACTCAAAAGAAGAAGCAGTTCAATCACCAAACGAGACCGATACACCGTCGAAGAAAGGCAAAGGCATGTTTGGCAAAAAGTTCAACATGTCATTTAACATGAAGAAGTTTAGCACCGGCACAGCTGTGCCTGAGCCTGCTAAGCCTGTCGTGGACGAGAAGGCCGAGGATAGTGACTCTCGCTCTACCAAGACGGATGAAAAGACATTTGAGGATAATTTCTTTGGTGTTATCCAACGGATACGACAGGGGTATGAGGAACAGCTGGCTGCAGGTGCTACAAAGCTAGAAACAGCTATTACACCGAGCCTGCCAAACGAAACACCGGTGCTCAAGCCGCCAGCGATGACGACCATCTTGATCCAAGAGGATCGCCCCGACTCTGGAGGAGTTGCTGATCTCTTCGAAGGCAAAGTCGGTACACTGGGATCACAAGCTGATCTCATTGAGAAGGCGGCGCCCATGTGGCTGGCCGAAGTCTTGCTACGAGTGAGTTTGCCGATTTCCTATTGACTGCGAAATTCGTATCAACTAACCAATTTCTCCAGAACCAACTCCCACCCAAGGATATCGTCAAAGTATCTTTTGTCCTCGAGCCCCACGGCAACTCCTTGCCGTCCATCTCATCCGACGGGTACATTCCTTTTTCTCTTCCCTTCGAAACCGCGGCGCTCGCTAATTCGACCCTCAGCAACAACCGCCTCAATGCTAACCGCATGCTGCGGGCGCGCAAGATCCTCGGCTACGTCGCCGAACGCATCGAACCGCCGCCTACAAAGGAGGATCTGGAAAAGATGTCCGAGGAGGGTGGGGTGCTAAAGCCAGAAGAGTACCTCGAGCTGTACTGTAATGGCCAGGTAAGACCATCCACGGGTGAAGTCTTCAAAAACTTAGCAGTCTTACTAATATCGTGTTCGACATAGCTCATCCCCCCTACAATGACACTGGCTAGTATCCGCGCCCACGTCTGGCGCGGAGGCGGCGACGTCCTCCTCTACTACAAGGCAAACGGCCGCAAGCAAATCAAGCAAGCCCACTATCCCGGCCCGCAATCTGGTGCTCCGCCTGCCCCCATGCACGGCTTGCGACCTGGCGCGGGACTCAGCTCCATGCCTGGCAGCAGCAATGTGAGCGAAGGGAAGCAGAGCAGTGAGGCGGAGAGAAGCACAAAGGACACTGCTGTTTTTGGGCCGTAGAGACTTGGGTCTGTTGAATCGTGGGGATTTCTTTGCTTGGATAGCTTTGGTTAATTGCTCGTTGGGTTTACTTGCTGGGATAGGTCGAGGGATACTTGTTCTTGCATAGTGTTGACAGATAGGGGAGTTGGGGGGAGAGAGAAAGGGTTAGAGGGCTCTTGTATAGTTGGCTCGTTCTACGTGGAAAGTAAGATGTAAAAAAATAATTCAGTGGGCCATCTCATGGGTGTGGCCTAATTTCAGTCAGGCCCCCCCTGAGCAATGTTCATTCGTATAGTACATTGGTATCGCTGGTTCCTCGTAATATGTTCTTACTCTCTCACTCTTTGCCACAACATGCACATCAGTTCTCCACAACGCCTCCCAACAGGTTACTAGCCCATTGGTACGAACCGAGGAAAATGGCACCGCCGACGCTTATCCATCCGACACGGGGCCCCAAGCCCGCGAAGAAAGCTCTCGGGCCCGACTCTCGCAGAATTGTAGTGAGCATGTTAAACATTGGCTGTTTTTCCCTGGCAAGCATCATGCGCGTCTTGAGCACATCCAACGGCGTCGTGGTACCCGCGGCCACGGCGCCGGCCACACTCCCCAACAGTCCACCTTCCCACCCCGAGACCTCGTGCCTGCCCGTCTGCGCGGTGCGGTACTTCTTCAGGGCCTCCCAGAGCGGAAACTGAATCACCGTAAACGGAACCTCGCGCATAATGGTAATCGACCACCCCCGATACAGCTCCATCCACACGTGCGCAAAGCCACGGGTATGTCTCTGATTCAAGATGTGCGTGAGCGCAGACAGCGATGACGGATGCTGCGACGCCTGCGCCCGTTGCTTGACCACCTCTGTCGGCACCCTAACCGCACACGCCGCCACCTCGCCCAGACTCGCTGCCACCATGTGCACGAGGGCCTCGCGCCCACTGTCGCTTACCTCCTCTTTGTACGGCTCCCCCGCGGCATTGTACCGTATGCGGGCCGTGGGCTGCGCGAAGCTGCGCTTCAGCGAGTCGTACGTTATGAAGAAGAGGGCGGCGCCTGGTGCAGACCCGACAATTGCGCTGCCGACGCCGCGATAGATGCCTGTGAAGCCGCCGCTTGCGGCAAAGCCCGACGACGATTGTAATCGTGTTTTGAGCGTGTCCAGCGGGTACAGCGAGAGGTCGACTGTGGTGCCGGCTAGACCGCCTGCCTGGGGCACAATCGTAGTTAGCTGGGGCCGACATGTATGTGTATACGGTGCATGACGTGTGTGAGGTGAGGGGGTGCAATTGGATATTCAAACGGCCAAGAATGCGTGTTGCGCAACTTACTATTAGCGAGCGCAGATACGGCGACTCAACCCATGCTTTTTGTCCGCGGGTGGGGTCGAGCGCAGACTGGGGCATCGTGGGGGAGGAGCAGAGAAGGGGAGCGGGCGAAAAAAGATTGGCGCGAGTGACATATGACGAGGTTCCTGGCGCGGGTTGGAGGGGAACACGGCGTCTGTGCTCAAGCTAAGCTGGGTAAGCTCTGGACCCTTTTGTGGGTGCCCTTTTCTTGCATTTGATCATCGCTTTTGAATGTCTTGCTTCGGCATTACGGTTGGCATTAGACGGTATCCGGCAGTGGTCTGACGGCATTTTGTTCTAAGACGATATGGCGAGGTGAATGATGAGTAGTGTCGGTATCACAGTGAGATGTTTGGCTAGCACGAGGGTTCCCAGATGCGGCGGGCAAGAGGAGGAGCGGGTAGATGAAGGAGATGGCCAGGCTGCACGTGGCTTGGAGGGTACGAGCCAGGAAAAGACTGGCGCAGTGAACAGTGCAGAGTCGGACCACTCGGACGAGGATGGATCAGAAGACAAGGTGTCTGGCGATATCCCATTAAGTCCTTCGTCAGCATCCGATACGACAAGCAGCAAATCAGCTACCCCAGAGCCTCTGCAGAAACCCCATCATACAAGCTGTATCCAGGAGGCTCAACTCTCACCAGATGGAAGCTGCATCTTTACATCCGACTACAATCGCGTCTTCTCCGTCTACCCCATCTCGAGCGACATTTTCTCGCAACCGAGCAGCCAGAGTCTCACGCCGTATGCGTCTTTCCGCTCACCAAACCCCATCTGGGCTTTTGCTGTCAACCCGCTGTTCAACCTGCAGGATGCCTCCAGCACAACCACGCTGATCAGCCGGCGAGACTCCTACATTACCCTGCACAACGCACTATGGGACGTCTCGCAGAGCTATACGGACATCGACAACACGACTCCTCCTACCAGCCCAATTAACATATCACAACCCCTCGCCTCGTACAAGTTCATCAATAACCTCACCGAAGCCGTCACCGCGCCGATTAGCCTCGCCTACACACACACGGGCACCCACTTCTTCGGCGGCTCGCAAGACAAAATCGCCGTCTTCGACATGCACGAAACCAACAAGCCCATCCACGTGATTCCTACGATTCCCTCGCGCCGCAGCAAGCTCAAGGGCGGAGGCCGCGGCTTCAAAGGCCACATCTCAGCGCTCTCGCTGTCTCCCTCTTCACCGTCTTCACGCGACGGCATCCTAGCAGCTGGCTCGCGGACGCGGCACATTGGCCTGTACGACGCCGTCAGCGGCACGGAAATCACGGGCTTCGCTCTGCCCGGCACAGCCAGCGGCGTGCGCTCCCGCACCAGCGAGCATCTGCAGCACCTCATGGGCGACGGCGTCACGGCGCTGCGCTGGAGCCCCTGCGCAAACTACCTGTATGTTGCCGAGCGCAACGCCAACGCCCTGCTCATCTACGACGTGCGCTGTTTCTCGCTCGCACTAGGCTACTGCGTCGGCAGAAAGGCACTGACCAAGCAGAAACTGGGCTTTGATGTCTGGCATGCGGGTGCCGCCGCGCCGTACCAAGTCGACGGCGTCTCGCACGAAGTCTGGGCTGGCGGGACCGACGGCAAAATGCGGGTTTGGAAAGATGCGTATGCAAAGGAGGGCGCGGTCCAGCCCGATGAGGTGCTTACGGTGGGTGCTCAGGACGACGAGCCGGTTGTGGCGTCGCTGCTTCATTCGTCGGGCAGCTTGGCCGTGGCGGCCAGTGGCGTTGTCCGCGTAGCTGGGCAGCAAGATGACGACGGCAGGGGCGTGCAGAGAGGCGGCGGCGGAGTGAGACCACGGTACCGGGAATGGGGTAATCTTGATATTCTAGCGTTGAGCTAGAAACACGGGGTTGGTTTAAAAGAAACGTGTCGCCAAGAAGCATGGCCACGTCGTATACAGATAACGTATGTGGCAAGCGAGCGCCGCAGGTAAGCGAGCGCCGCACCCCACCAAACCTGCGCACCTCTCCTATCTCAACGAACAATGGCTCAACGTAGCGCTACTTAATTAGCTTTAAATGAAGCAGATATTTAGCTTGCTATTTCTTCTATTAATCTCTATCAAACACAAAGTAATCGTCGCGCTGCTGCTGTCTACAACGTGTCTGAACGAACAATCCGCCGCCGACGCGCTGGTATACCTGCTCGACGCGATTGCCAGCCTAACTCAAAGAAGCTCACTAAGCTAGAAGAGGAGGTAATAGTTGATCATATACTTGATCTAGATCTACGTGGATTTGCGCCCACGTATGCTGCTGTGCGCGATATGGCTGATAAGCTGCTGGCTGCGCGCGGCGCTGGCCAGGTTGGGC